TAGCCATTTGACGGTATAAAAGAATAGAATAAATGCTTTAAATTCTATTTTATTATTTTTGAGGTTGAGAATGCGATGACCGATTGGAAGCTATATTTGTCATTGTTTAAGCAACGTCTCGTCTCATTGGCTAAGAATCAATATCAAATGCACTTTTTTGAAAAAAGTTCAAAGGTCAAATATGAAATGGATACGAGTCGATAGATAAACATTTTCTCGGAAAAGTGTCTGAAACATGAAATTATCGAAATACCACTAGCAATCCAAGCACATATTATTATGAATTTCGTTTGAATTTCTGAATTTTTTCGCCAACTTGGGGTCGATCTTTATTAGTCGATGCACTTAGTCATTTAGAATATTCAGCAGCACTCGAATTTCTCTCCCTAAAAAGTTCAAACAAAGGCATAAATCATACTCACATAGTGCATTGTGCCACCATAGATACCGGTGTTTGCTAAGCAGATATCTCGAAAACTCGTCTTGGATCTAAGAAATAGGCTTTACAAAGTGTTAGAGGACTACTTTATGAATCTATTATGTTAATCTTATTCTCTGAAATAGTGGCATGATCAAGTGCACCAATGTGCTCAACATCTGACATTGATTAGATAATTCATTCCGATTTGTCCGTATACTAAACAGATTAAAGGCTGACACACACTACTGGTATAAATCAGTTTTATTTCTATTTTAAATCAGGGCTCTTCCACATTGCAGCAGTTATCCACTAATTAAAATTAGCATATATTTAAGTGCTAAGTAAAAAACTCTATTTTTGCTAAGTAATTTAGTGATTAAAAATCTAAGTAAAAAAATCATTCTTGCTAAGTAATTTATATAAATTCTCAGTAAAAACATTTAGTTTTCTAAGTAAAATAATGAAAAATGCTAAGTAAATAAATAGTTTTTGCGAAGTATAAAATTAATTTTTGCTAAGTAATAAATACAGAATATATAAGTAAAAAAATTGATTGAACAGTTAATCACTTAACAATGCTGTAGTTGCTTTTCAGTGTGAGTGTGGGTGTGGTACAAATACAATACCCTCACCCACACCCCTACACCCTCAAAAATTGCTATTGTCTATATATACAAAACTTGTGTCAGATGAGGAACATCGCATAGTCGCTTGGATAAGACTGAATATCAGTATACTTGAATCTAGACATGACCCAAAGCCAAACTCACATCACAACCGTTTAGGGATTTGAGTATATGAATTTGAATTTGGATTTGGATCTTCTTTTCATTGCGTCAATGTGTCCAAAATAGTTTCTTCGACGGAATAAAAAAGCGCAAACTCAAACTCAAACCCGAACTGCTTGAGAGTTTGAGTACTAAACTCAGTCCTATACCCAAACCCAAACTCAAACAGTTTGGATTTGAGTCATGCCTACTTGGATCACACATTCTTTATTTGTAAAAATCACAGGTTATATATAGGGGAGTGGATCGTACATTCTTGAGAAATGTACATGGGTTGATCGAGATAGAGCGGCTGGAGTAAATCTCAACAAACATAATATACATATGAAAAGATGACGAATAGAAAAAAAAAGAAGGAAAAACTAGGCATATATGATGGACAGAACGAAAGAATCCAAGTATATGTGATGTGTGTAAAAAGAAACGAACACAAGAGAACGAACGGAAAATAACGACATGTTCGTCATTTGTATTTACTATGCAAACTTATGTTTTTTATTTCTAAAATATTTTTTTTACTTGGCAAAATGCATTTTTTACCGATAATTCCATAAATTTACTTAGCAATTAAAACTTTAACTTATATATTAATTAATATACTTAGAAAAAAATTGATTACTGAGAATTGTTTTTTTAACTGAACATTCAATAAATTTACTGAGCATTAGGTATGTGACAACTCAGGCTCAACAGCTCGCGCGAGCTGAATCCAGGAGCTGGGTCTTCAGCTCAAGCTCATTTGAACTGGAGCTGGTGACCAGTTCAGTTGATGTGAACTGGAGCTGGTGATCAGCTCATTTCATTTGAGCTGGAGCTGGCGACCAGCTCATTTTATTCGTATATTAATCATTATATTACATACAAACGTGAGTAATATCCAACTATTCACGTTTAACGATTATTTCTGACGACGAAGTCATTAATAAAAGCTTAAAGTAATTCTTTCCAAACGTTTGTATGTAATATAATAATTAACATATGAATAAAATGAGCTGGTCACCAGCTCCAGTTCAAATGAAATGAGCTGATCACCAGCTCCAGTTCACATCAACTGAACTGGCCACCAACTCCAGCTCAAATGAAATGAGCTGTTCACCAGCTCCAGCTCAAATGAAAAAGAACTGTTCAGACAGTTCCAACTCACTGAGCGGAACTGGAGTTGTCACATACCTACTGAGCATTCGACTTATTTACCGAGTATATACAAATTTTACTTAGCAGAAATCAATTTAGCGTTTATATATTTTTACTTAGCACTTAAATATGTGCCATTAAAATTGAGCATAACGAATACATTTATGGTGAAAACGTGTGCGCGGGTGTGGATATGGGTGTGAGTGTGAGCATCTTATCTTCATCCATACACCCACACCCACACCGTCAAGATATATATCATTTAGTCAAAAGTTAAAGAAATTATTACATTTGTTTGTTAGTTCATATACAGATCTCTTTCGCAGCTAATATTATTCAAATTCAATTACTTTGAATTTTTAAAATAGAAAATATACCTGTAAAATTACATATCACATCTATTAACTTCTGTCAAATTAAACATTGAAAAAAGCTATACACGCACAAAAGTATTCATACTACCACAACTTTACGAAAGTTAAAAATTAGAAAACATATAGTGTCATGATATAAGAATTTTAACTATAATCTAGAAGTTCTATATTAAATTATTCTTTTTAAACTTTAGTTCTTCAAGCAATATCATCTATGAAATAATTGTATAATCAACTATCTTGAGGATGTGGACGTGAGTGAGTGTCGGTATGAATGAAGGGAAGACTATCACCCATACTCAATATACACCAATTATGTAAATCTTCTGGAACGAATTGTGATAAAACTGCATGTACACTTGTCGCATGAGTAGCCACATAAAATGCCTTTGTTACATCAATCTCCATTTGTTTTTGTGAACCAACTTCTGACGAATGTACCTAAATATTTTCTTTTTGCATCCATCGTCGTGGTAGGCCGATTGCTGGAATTCCACCTGTTGCATGGTTTGACTTCTTCCAACTTGTTGTTCTTGCTGCACAAGCAGTCCAAGCATTGCCTGAAGATTCAATTGAAAATGCAGCAAATGCTTCATTACCTGGATCAATCCATTGTGGATCATCTACAAAGATGTATTCATGGTTCTTTGTTGTTAATGCCAACCCATCTTGAGGGTGTTGGTATTCTTCTCATTCGCCATAAATAGAAACACCCACATCCGTAATATATCGAACCATATTTGCGTCAGCTGACTTTTACAATCTAAAAGACTTTAATTACAGTCGAATACCTTAAGTTATTTATTACTTGATTCGAAAAATAATTATTTCCAGATAGTCAAAGTTGTAATTTCTGTAATTTTAATTGAAAAAAATAAATCATTGATATATTTAATATCCTATTGTTTTTTTGATAATCAGGTAATAATATAAAAAGTACCATCTTCTGCAGGAGCAATTTCTGCCATTTTTTAAGCATTCAAATGCGTCAATACGATAGAAATATCATTTTCATTTGAGCATATTAATACATCACTTTGCAAACTGTCACCAGAATAAGCTGAAGGGTTGATGCGGGTGGTTCGATGAGTGAGCGTGGCATAGAGGTAATACCTACATCCACACTCACACCCTCAAGAATAACGTTTTTATTGTGTTTATTAATAAATTGTTTACTTTTACGATAACCATATCTTCCTAGGAATTCGCATACAGCTAGCACAGCTTCTTTTTTGTGGCATCATTGTATATAAGTCTGGTATGTCCAATGTAGTAATACTTGTTTCTGATGTTGTTTTATACTCTTTTCGATGTTTTAAAATTATTCTTGAGTCGGAAATTGTATCTGCAGTATGTTTATCAAATAGTCAGCTAATATTCTTATTAAGAAAACTAGCTATTTTTGCTAATGGTGATTTTATGATCCCCAGCATTATAATATAAATTCGGTAATTCTGATTCTGTCGTTGATGATCTTAATTTATCTGATAATACTTGAGGCATCTGTTTTGTTGAAACCAGATTGCGTATAAATCTATCTGTATTTTCTATCATGTCTTTTAATGGTGATGTTGGTATTTCTATATATGCATTTGTTTTGGTCATGTATGCAGCCGATTCTTCGATATAACTTCCACCTTGAGGGTGGGTGTGGGTGTGGATATTCTTCTCGTTCGTCATCAGTACGAACATCCATAATATATTGAATCATGTTGGCATCGGCTGAATTTTCAAATCTAAAAGAGTTCAATTATAATCGATTATCTAAAGTTATTTATTACTTTATTTTAAAAATAATTTGCCCATCGTGATGAAAAATGATAATTGCGGTGATTTTAAATTGCTTGATCACCTTATTGATATATTCGATATCAGCATCCTTTTTAACTAAGGTGCTGATAATATGTATATGATCGTCTCCCTCAGGAGCAAGTTCACTTATCTCATCAAGAGATAAGTACCGATGAACAATTACAATATTATTATTGTTCATACAAATTAATGCATTGATTTCTAAATTTTCAAAGGAATTTATGTTGGTTTCAGCCATTATATTAATCTAGAATACAAAGAAAAAATGATTGAATCTTTATTAACTGAATCAATATAATACCCAGGTCGAACAATCCGGCACGGAAACGGTCGGTTCCTTGGTATTCCGGAGATTTCATGGAAGCAGTATTCCTGTTAAACGGATCCGGTGACCGAATTTATCTGGTTTGAACAGAAACCGATAGGAACATGTCACAACTAGCAACCGGATATGGTTATCTCACTTCTTCATCAGATTCCTGGTATTTTCCTGGCGGGTTTCTTCAGGGATTTCTCCGAAAATTCATAGAATCCTGCTTCAGGAACTGCCGTCCGGGGTATCGTAGATTTCGATTAATGCTAACTAAAATATTTCATTCCAGCTAAATCATAGCTTAAACTTAGACATTGAATAACTTGTAATGGTTCTGACACGATACATACTTGATAAATCTATATAAATACAGCTAACTAAAATGTTTTACGAATGGATCACATTCAATCAAATTACATCTGCCTATCAGCTGTTATAAGAAAAAAAACTTTTTGGTTTATTTTAATCACCTTTGAATCATTGAATCCATTAAATCAAATATGCTTTTTTATAATCATTACATTACATAGATATATTAACGAACAGATGGTAAATAAATAATGAATATCATCAGCCAAGATGGAAATATCTTAAACTATAAGATTATACCAAAACAACAAAGAGCTTTCAATAAAAAAAATTCGAAAGTCAAGAAGGAATTCGTGTAAATTAGTTAATACAAAATCTTCTAGTTTCTATTTTATTCTTTATACATGTTCATCGAATAGATGTTGCGTGTATCTGAGCAACGAAGAATACAGTGGACGTCGAAAGTCTCACTCCACTTTTTTTATTTTGAGTCGTATATTTAAACGATACAACATTAGTTTAATTTAATGATATGTCTGGATGGCAGAAATCCAATGGAGTATGGGTATGAGATCTATATAATACAAACACCCGCACCCATCAATTGTTTAATTATAATTAATACGTAACTATAGAATTCAGTGTGTTCGTAATTAAAATCTAAATGAAATATTTGCAAAATGATATTTTATCGTGTCTGAACCTTGTAAATCTTGAAAAGGGCTATTTAAGGAGTCGAAACGTCGAAATAAATTTTCTTGTATAAAATATTGTATTATCTTATTATAATGGAAAAAGCCGCTTTCATTCAATCTTGAGGGTATGGGTGTGAGTGATAGTGTTCCCTTCATCTACACGGACACCCACGCCCGCCCTCAAGATGAAAAATGGATAAGTAGTAATGTTGAATTTTCTCAGTTGATAAAACCCATTGTTGACTCCTTTGATGGATAAAAATAGGATTGGTACAAGCTTCTGTAAGAATTTGATAAAGGCATGTGTTATTCCACGTGTTGATGATTGATGGTCCTGAAGTTTTGTTCGTGAAGCTGAGGTTAGTAGATGAATGATGAACGAAGTGAAGATTGAACCGATTGACAAGATACGTCGTCGAGTTGCATCTTGTTTTCTTCCGCAGCTGACATGCTGATGTCTAATTCAAGTATTGAAGTGTCATAGTGACTATGTATATATTATTTAAGAACAAGAAGCTTATTTTTTCTTTTTCTTTCTTTTTTTAGTCCTCTTGTGCGTTTGTATTATATTTGCTCTTTACACTGAAAACGGTAAAGGTTTATTAATAGATAAAGATTAAATTCAATATTATTTGCCCATGCATTGACTATATATATTTATTATTAAACGATAAATATACTATACAAATTTACGTTTTACAAAAATACAACAGAAAAACGAAACAGATTTTTATTCTTCCTCTAACA